GGCTCCAGGGTACAGCTGGACACTGGCCCATGGCAGGGTGCAAGGAGGGCCCTGCTGCCTCCCTGCAGGGAGGAAGAGGAGAGATGAGGCCGGGGGCTCTGTGCTGGGGTGACAGGAGGGCACAGCAGGGCCCTGGGCCGAGTGGCCCATGCCCCGCAGTGGTGTGTGGGGCAATGGGGCTGGGCCCTTACAGCTGTGCTGCAAAGAGCAGCCTGGCTCCAGCCTGGCCATCGCGGGTGCTGGCAGCAGGGAAGGGAGCAGGCATCTCCACTTTCGGAGGCTATTTTCAGATGCTGGAGAGAAGCCGAGGAGAGATGAGATTGTCACCAAGGAGACCAGAGAAACAGGGGCAGCGCCGGGCAACGGGGGGCTGCGGGTAGAAGGGAAGGAAGGGCTTTCTGCAAGCCCTGAGGCCCATGCATGAGGTTCAGCACCTCCTCTGGCCCCCAGCACCTCCTCTGGCCCCCAGCAACCTGCCCAAGAGCCCAGCATCCACCTGCCAGGCTGGGGGGACATAACCCTGAACCACCAAGGGACACCCAAGCCTTCCTCCCCCTCCTGTAAGGCTGGACTGCTCTATTCCCTTTGGTTAATGATCCACGGGAGAGTTCCCAGGACATAAGGCAGATCTCAGATCAGAACAGGGATGCTAAGAGCTGCTTCCCCATGCCACGGGGCAGGAAGAACCACCCCAAGATCTGGGAAGGACAGGGAGAAAGGGGGGTGGCAAGACACATTCCCTGGCCCGGAGCCCAGTGAAGTGTGGGAAGATCTGAGCTGCTCCAGACACAAAGAAGTCAGGGAAAGGGAGGCAGATGAGAACCAGGAGAGCAGCCAAGTGTTAAACTTTAATAGAAACCATTGAGAAACAAAGGGAAAACAGAGAGGAGAGCCCAGCAGAAGAGCACAAGCCTGCAGTCTGTGGAGACATACTGCAGGGTACACCACAGAGCCAACACACAGAGAATGCTTCCTCCCCAGCAGCCCTACTGTCCTCACAACAAACCAGAGCCATGCTGGTACCTGTGGTCTCTCTTGAGAAGCAATGTGCAAGCCTGAGGTCTCCCCCAGGCCCTGATGCTGGCACCTTCCAGAAGAGTGGGGTAGAGGCTGGGGAGTTTTCTCCAGGGCCAGGCTGCTGCAGGGCAGGAGCATACTCAGCTCCCAGCAGCTTAGGTCACAGACACAGGCAAACAAGGGCTCAGCCCATGCTGATTGGGGACAGGAAGGGCAGGCCAACCCCGAGCTCAGCCAGCTCCCATGCAGCAAAGAAACCACCATATCAGACTTTAAGAGCAGCCTAGGGCGAAGGCCAGACAAAGACTATTTCCTCAGGCTTTGCCATTTGTTTTAAAAGCTGAAGTAAACACAGCTCTCCTCTTTGCCTAATAAAACATCCCACCCTAAAAACAGCCCCACAAGCAAGTGTACAGCACAAGGGACTCCCACAGCCCTTGCTCTCTAGAGCCAGCTTCTGTCTCTTCCTTTGAGGTAGGTTGAGGTGTCCCTGGGGAGGGATGGCAGCTGCCTGGGTCACATCACCAGGGCAGTGTCTGAGAGGCAGCCAGCAGGTCTCTGGTCAGCTCCACCAGTGCACTTGTTGAGAGGTAAGCTCTGAGCAGGGCTGGGCTCCAGGCATCTCGTGAGGTCCTCACCAGCTGAAGGGAGGAGTGTGCTGCAGGAGAAAGGAGACCCCATGCTGCTTAGGAACAGTGAAAAAGGACCAAGAGGGCCATGGTGCAACATTCATCTGCAGTATCATGACATATGGACTCAGAGATAGGGCTGCCAGGCTCACCTACTCCATCTCCCATCCCAGGCAGCACCACTCATCCCAACAGACACTCAAGACATTGATGGGACTTTAGGGTCACAGCTTGATCTCCCTGTCTGCATATTAACCCAATCCCACCCTGGCCCGAGCACAGGAACAGGGCTGTTTCCCTTAGCACTAGAGTGTGTCTTCCCTAGCTTTAGCTTGTCTAAGTTAGTTCCCCTAATTTTTTGGCTCGCCTAGACAAACTCCAGTCATCCATCTCTATGCAAGAAGCTGTCAGGGCCAGCAGCACAGCTTTGCTCAGAGAACCTGGCAGAGTGCAGCAGACCTGGAGGCCTTGCTGCTCCCCCAGCCCCATGCTGCAGCTGAGAGCCTCTGCTCACTGTTAACTGCATCAGAGCCCACAGAAGTGGTGCAGGTCCCTATGAGAAACATCTTGTCAGCGTGTCCTGACCACGACAGCCCCAAACATCACCCAGTCTGGCTGTTCTGGGCTTCACTCCCATCCAAACTGGGCATACAGTGCCACGGAGATACACCCAGTGGCACAGACATCAGTTAGCTCTCCAAAGAGTTGAGGCTGGCTTCAGAGCCTGCAAACCAAACTGCTCCTCTCACCCTAAACAAAGCTGCTTTTCCTGCTGCCAGTTCTCTCCCAGGACACCAGTCCTAAAGCCACACTATGAACACCACGTGAGTCATGGCCAGTACAAACTCACCCCAGTCTGCCCAGTTCCAGTTTGTTGAAGCCATTTGACTGAATGCTGCTCTTCTCAAGGAAGAAAGACTTTGGCAACGACCACTGCAGGAGGAGAGAAAGACAACTGAATGGCTATTAGAGCCATGGCAAAAATCCCTCAAGTCTGCTGTGCTCTGCCATAGGCTGCCCTAGAGAGCTTCAGCTAGAGCTGCCTAACTGCTGTGCATCGTCACTGCCACCAGACTGTTCCCAGAATAGCAAACAGAGCAGTCTTTGCTCTCTGCCTAATGAATCCCTCTGCTGAAAGTGGGAGTAGAGCATCTCGAGGTCAGAAGAGTGGGTTTCTTTCAGTGGATCAGTCTGCTGTAAGGCACAGGAGTGACAGACAGAGAAGACTCCTTCGCAGAAGGGAACAAAGGGCAGGCCAGGTGCCAAATATGTAGGGCTGTGCCCAGTGCACCCAAGGATATTCAGATGCAAAACACTTGCAGATCTGATATACTGGATGGATTTCAAGTTGGTGGGAGATAGGGCAGTATGGGTTTTCCAGACTCCTGGAGGCCTTGGCAAAGAGGAAAGATGATGACAAACAGGTAGGGCAGGAGCTAGAGAAAGCAGAACAAGCAGACTCTCTGCCCAACTCTGTGCAGGCAAACAACTGCCTCTGCCTAAATTACCCACAGTCATACACACCATCTGGGCCAAATCCATCCCTGTCCCATTGTGGTATCCTTTGACACACCAGTTCTTCAGTAGCTCCAGACCTGTGAAGTGACAGAGGACAAGATGTAAGAATGAACAGTCAGGTCTGCAAGGAGTTAAACCTTCCCAGCTTGGGGCATACAAATATGCTGCACTGACCACGCAGAACATGCTATGCAGTAACTACTTGAACACATGTCTGAGTGCCAGGAAACGCGGGGTAAACCAAGGGCGTTCACCCTTTGTAGGAGCAAACACCAGCACGTGGGCTGCTGCAGTGCCTGCCTTCCTCCCAGGGAGCCAAGACACTCCATGCAGCAGGCTCAGTGAAGCAGGAAAACTGGGGCAACACAGGATTTGCCGAATTAGACCAGACTGGCTGTCCCCCTGAGCCCAGTGCCTGCCAACGGCAGCACCTGATTTGGGCTGCATCGGTGAAAGTTCCTACAGTGCAAATGTAGAGCAGCTTTGCTGTCATCGGCCCCTTTCCCAGAGGAGGGCAGCTCGGGCAACCTCCTCTATCAGCTGCAGCATCCCAGCACGTCATCTCCTTCCTGCTGTGATCCATCCAGAGCACAACATGGGCTGAGACCTGGTCTCCATCCCTGACAGAGGGCGAGGCTGGCAAAGACTGAGCTTATCCCTGGTGTGACTGGAAGGGACTGTTCCTCCCACTGCACATAGGATATGGTGCTCCAGAGCAGAGGGAAGTCATCTTGAAGCAGAACCACATGTTTGACTGCACTGAACAGGCTCTGCTTCCTCCAAGGCCTCCTGCTAGCTGTCCCCACGACAGCCAAGCAACCTGCCTTCACCCAATGCAGAAATATTGATAAATCCAGGACTGCTCCCATCTTGTTTTCTTTTTTAAGAGCCTTAGGACCATAGGAGAACCTAAGGTGCCTTGCGATTTAAGAACCAGCAGAGCAATGACCAGGAACTTGATGCTGTCCAGCTGGGATTACTGTGGTTTGCTATACGATACCAGTCCTGGCTATAGGAGGAATCTTTGCTGTCCAAACTCTGTTCCTCAGTGACCTTTCAGCAAGCCCCAGCTCCCTGGAGAAAAAAAACACATCCTGGGGGCTGAGCGGAGCAGGTCAGTTTGGCCACCTCTGTACTGAGTCTGCACACCAGGCCAGGCTTTGCACCTTGATAGCTGGGGAGAGAGAAGAGCTGCATGGAACACAGGTGAACAGGAAGGGACCAGAGGGAAGTTTGGTTCTGCTCAGAGGTGAAGAGCAATGAGAGGGTAGAGCAAATCTGCTCAGTGGGCTGCTTTGGGGAAGCTGGAGCACTGAACCAGGTCCCTGGCCTGAGCAGTGAAGTTCAGGGCAGCACTTCAGTGAGAACGATGACAGGATCTTTCTTCCAGCTTGATGGGAGAGCATCCAGCAAAGGTATTAGTGAGGCAAAGAATGACACATGCTGACAGCGCAGCTGGAGAGGGCTATGAGGTTACTGTCTCTCTGTGAAAGACTGTCAGTGACCCCTTTGATATTTGTTTTAACACCGGTGAAAAGTGACAAAAGCATTTTTCTTTTTTTCTTTGCATGACAGCCAGGCTAAGAGCACACATACGGCCACTGCAGTGGTGGGCTGGCTCCTGCAGAAGCCTCTCCAGCTAGATCAGATATTGGATGGAGAGCCCTGAGCCACACTCCTTCTTTTTATGTTCTCTAACCCTTCATACTAGAACTCACTGATTCTCTCTCCCAAATAACCTTTACTGCTGCCTGGAAAGAGACAGCGCTGAGTGAGAAGGAATTGGTCCAGCCCAGCTATGCCTCATTAAAGGATGGGTTTTTTAAAAAATAAAGAGTTGTGTCCTGGAAAGGTGGAAATGATAGATAGCTAGATTTCTACTATTTAGTAAAAATTCCCCTGTGTGCACACTGACAGTTTTTCATAAGTTAGAAAGCTGCAGGAGACCAGGCAAGAGGCCCATTTTTTTCCTTCACAGATCACCTGTAAGGAGCAACTCCAGCTGTTTCTCCCTCGAAAGAGGGCAAAGAAACACAGTAAGAGGTCAGAGCTACAGGCTGAAGGCAAAATCCCAGCCTGCTTTATCCCCAGGGCACCTAGAAGCGCTGGTGCTGCATTTACCAGAACAGTCATAACCTCTCATCAACTCAAAATAAGCTTTCTGTGATATTTGAAACAGTCTGGGAGGTAACACATTTCCTATGGGTTAGTGTGCAGGCAGGCAGCTCCCCCTCAACATGCTCAACTCAGAAGTCTCCCACGACTGCCAGCAGGCAGCTTGCCTAACTCAGGTGGCTGTGCCAGGCTTTAGGAGGGCAATTACCTTTGTGTCTATTCAAGTAGTATTTGAGCTCCCACTGGGTCACCAGGATGTTGAAGTAACGAGGCTGCTCGAAGAAGCGCAGGTACCGCATGGAGATGTGGCTGGGGAACACCCGCTCAAACTGCCCACGCCGGGAATACTCATCCTCTGTCTCTACCAGGATGCGAACATCATCTGGGGTCAGGATGTCCAAGACAGAAGAATAAAAATCCTGCAGACAAGAGCAACCCAGGGTCAGGGAGAAGCATCTTAGGCAGAGGTTTCCATGAGTCTGAGATCTTTGGGACACAGGCCACATGGAAACTGAAGAAATCTAGACTCAGCAGTGACACCACATAAAACTGAAGAGAACCCCAGTTCTGCAGCCCAGTCTTTCTTATAGACACTGCCAGGAGGTACACAAGGCCAGTGGCCCTGCTAACCTGCATGTGGTCAGCAGGCAGAGGCTATGAGAGCTGCATAGAGACATGAGGAGAAACAGGAAGTGCTCAGGCTATGGTTGGGGGCTGGTGGGTAATGTGCCCCTCAGCAGATGTCTGTTTTAATGTAAAGATAACTCAGTGAGACAGTGGCTTAAGCAAACATAATTTATTTCTGACCAATTGTCTTGTAACCCACTGGAGTACACGTGCACCCCATCACCTGGCTCTCCCCAGGGAGGGGCACAGTTTGGAGTAGGACAAGTGGGACTGGTTGGGACTGGGGTTTGTCAGGATGGCGCAAGTATCGGAGGAGGTTGTGTCATACCTGATCAGGTATCTTCTGCATCAAATAATAGGCCTTCTTCATCTTCTCTGCTGTGAAATGTTCAGATGCTGGCTTGGGCTTCTCCTTCAAAGCACTGGCCAGACTAAAGACACAAGACAAGCAGTAGAGCATTTTAGTGGAGAAGACAAAATCCTGTCATGGCAGAGCTGCTCCCAGCAACTTCTAAGAGAGCAGTGACACCCTCAGGAAGATGCTGTGGAGGAGAGAATGTTTTCTCCAAGGATTTCACTAGTTCTGAGTTGAGTGATGCAGCTGCAGCCTTGTGCGTCAGCACAGGACCCAGGAATGATGTGGGCAGGGCAACTGGGAGGACTCTCCCAGCTCCTCACTAAGGCATTTCAGTGTTCCTTCATCCACAAGCTGAGCCATCACTTCACACTCACATAGGATGCAAGGGGGTCAAAGACACTGTGATCTGATTCACAGCACATGACATCTGGTGGAATCCCATGTTTACATCCTGCTTGGAACACACTTTCCTAACTGCAAGCACAGGGATGAGGGTACAGGTACCTGGTACTGGTACTGTCCAAGGAAGGAGAGAACACTTAGATAAAAAACTGTCCAACAACATCCAAGAATTCTCAAGATTCAAATTCAGCTCCAGCTCCACATGCCATGGGAAATCCTGGCCTTTTGTATCATCTGACCAGCAACAATCCAAACTATTCTAAGAACCAACTGAACCATTCAAGGATGCCAGAATCTGGGAGATACTTGCTGAAAACCTTTTAACCCATCTATCAACATAGCTTATTTGTTCTGCTGCTGCAAAAATAATTAGTTGTGTATGGATCCAAACAGGGAGAGCAGAGCCTCAAGGCTGTGCTGCATGGTGCTTGGGGAACATACAGATCTACTGGAATTATGCCCATATGCAAGAAAACCCTTCATATCCTTCCCAGGGAAGGAGATACAGTTAAACAAGCTTGCACCTGGCTGCAAGAACTCTGGTAATGCATCATGACAACCATGTTAAGGATCCGCTTAATCCCCTGCAGGTCCCTCTGAGGACACCTGCCCTTCAGCACCTCCATCGGAAGCTGCAAACCAGCGTGTGATCAAAGTACCGCTGAGGAGCTGAGGAGAGCTCCCTGTCTGGAACAGGCCCATACTCCAAGCTTCTCCTTTTGCTGAAGGCATAGGGCAGGCAGAGGGCAAGAGTCCCATCTTTTGGCATGCCCACACATCACTGCGTACTGGTGCCCACCCCAGCAAGCTGCTCCTTCAGTAACATATGGCCAGCAGCCACTCTGCTGCAGGGAACAGACTTGTTTCCTCCCAGCCATCAGCTTTGAAACAAGGATAAGCCCCAGCTGTGGTGAAACACAGAAGGAGATGGGGCCTGGGTGGACACACGCCTAGGAATTAGCCTTATGCAAGAAACCGTCACGGTGGCTGCAAGATAAGACTGTGCACACCCCCAACCATAGGTCTGGAGCCTCTGACACCTGCAGTCCTGCCTAAGGGACTGATCACTCCAGCCTTTGCAAAATAACAGGTGCTCCTCTTGCTCAAGGCAGCAGCACGCCAGTTCTGGTAAATCAGAGGGTAAGTGGATCCAGCCCCCCCAGAGCCAGCCAGTCCCCCAAGCAAACAGAGAGGCAGTGAGGCTCAGCATCATGTTAGTTCTGGCAGAGGAAAGGACGAGAGGGCACAACTTGACTAACTGCAGAGCAAGCACAAATTATGCTGGCCTCACTTCCAACTATGGACCTACAGAGAGGGCATAAATCCTTCTGCCTTGAAGAGACAGCAGGAACCAGACACCCAGGCAATGATGCAAGTTCCTTTGACCCATAGCTGAAGGACTAGCAAGCACAGGCTCTCAACAGCATAGAAACCAGTGTTTGCTGGGCTGCAAGCAGCCCCCCAGATGAAATCCCTCAAGAAAACAGTCTGCCTCTCTGAGAAAGAATAGGGCTGACCTGCATGTAGAGCCATTTCTTGTCTGTGGCACTGAGGCCACACTGTCCATGCTGGGCAGAACAAAGCCAGCGAGGTTGAGGAGGTCCCGAATCATCTGGCCCTTGATGCTCACATCCAGCGGGGAGTTGGAGTGGAGGCTGCGGACAGGAAGCATCACAGAAGTCTGAGTGCTAGAATGGAGGTGCTGAGCCCCATGGCCCCTAGATCAATCCTTGGGTTATTACCAACTGGAATACAAACACCAGCCTGCTCCTTGCCTCATCACAGCCAAACATGAGACACTGAGAAAAAAAGTCCTGACAACAGCTCTTTGAATGGGGGCTCCCCACCAGAAATGGTTTATTTTTCCACCTCTTCCCAAATTTGCTGGAAACAGGCAAATCCATCCCCAGAGCCCTGTGCAGGACCACAGCTCTGTGTTCAGGTCATGCCCACCCACTCTCACAGGCAGGAGAGGCCATGCTCAGTTACACTGCAGCTCCCAGCCCTGCCTGCACAGCTGACACCACACAGCTGGGTGCCATCAGCAAGGAATAGTGCACAAGGCAGTGGAACCGCTGATCGTTTCTGCCCACACAGAGAAGAAATCTCTGCCATCACCCATTCCCTACATGACACATCCCTCCTTGGCCTTCCTTTTTTAAGATACTCTTCCCTGGCTCTAGCTGGAGCATGCCCAGCAAAGCTTTCTGAGCTGCAGATGGATGTTGCTTTTGTAGACAGGGAGGACTTTGATTCCTGCAATCTGGAGAGAGAGGCTTGAAAGCCTACATTCTTTCAGCACAGGGTACAGAGGACATCACAAGCCAAACTCACTCTGTGGTAAAAGAAAGGCCATTATCCACTCTGCTGTAGCTCAGAATCTGCTTTACCTTGGAGAAATGTTAACTTCTAAAATCCAGGGCTTGAGGTTTTCATCCAGCATGATATCAAACCCAAACAGCTCATGGCAACAATACGGCCGGCGCACATACATCTTCACCAGGCTGTTCACGTAGGGCTCAGATCTGCAAGCCAAGGAAAAAATGTTTGTTTCCAACAGTCAGACAGCAGAGTTCACAGTCAGACAGGCTGTTCACAGCACACACTGCCGGTTCTGGAAGCGTATGCAGCCACATGCTGCAGGAGTGGGTGGGCTGAGAGACCAGTGCAGGGCTGTGAGCTGCTGCTGCTGAATGACATATGGATCCAGCATTGTGTCCTGAGCATCCCTGTTCTGTCGAGCAGGATTCACCTCTGAACACAAGATTCCTTCCTGCACCAGGGACCATTCCTGTCAGGTCCGCCGGCCAAGCAGTGGAGTAGGTGATAAGCTGCACCCTCCTAGCCTGCAGGCAGGCCTGGGAAATGTAAGGTCTATTTAATCACTGCAGGTACAGCAGCATGAGTGTAAGTAACAGGATTAAAGGAAGGATCCAGAAAGAAATACTGAAGCCAACAGTGGAGGTACCATTTCAATTAAGAGCAAAAGGGTCAGGCTGAGAGGAGACTTGAGAGCCAGAGGGGTCAGGGTGCACCTCAGAGCATAGAGCAAGAGGTGCCAGGACTCACGCAATGATGGTTTTGATAACGATGTCCTTAATCTTCTCCCAGATGGCCTCACTATTAACTCCCTTCTGGGACAGGTAACTCCAGAGAGCTTTGAGTGCCCTGGGAAAGAGAAAGCAAAGAAAGTAGCTCTGCAGTCTCTTGCTCTTCGGAGTGAAAGCAACAGTGGGGAGCCTTGACAACACTCTTCCCTGGTACAGCCATCCTCCTGCCATCCTCCAACCTCTCAGTTCCTGGTTGCTGCCCTCCCCAGTCTGGCCCCTGGTCTTGTAGGCCCAAGCTACTAGGAATATAAATCTGTCATAGACTTGTCCCAGCACTGGAGTAATAGGTCCCAAATTAGCACATGAGCAAGGTAAGTCAGACCCAGATCTTCTCTTCCCTCCCCCTCTGTGTCCTCAGCAAACCTCCCCTTCTTGCAGGCCTTCCCCTGCAGTGCTGCAAAGAAAAAGCAGGACCCATGTCTTAGGTAAAAAGTCATTTCACTGAGGCTTTGGGGGCAGAGAAAAACTTTTGGAAATTGTGGGGAACAACATGATATGTTGGAGCATCTCTGCTTTTATAGGAATTTCCCACACCACGTTGAGTGCTGCAAGCCACCTTGACACTGAGCCAAGGATGTTCAGATGTTTCTCAAGTGAGACCGTGTGGCTAATGGCCATGTCTTAGGTAAAAAGTCATTTCACTGAGGCTTTGGGGGCAGAGAAAAACTTTTGGAAATTGTGGGGAACAACATGATATGTTGGAGCATCTCTGCTTTTATAGGAATTTCCCACACCACGTTGAGTGCTGCAAGCCACCTTGACACTGAGCCAAGGATGTTCAGATGTTTCTCAAGTGAGACCGTGTGGCTAATGGCCAGGAATCCAAAGGTCATACTTCCTGCATACAAGATGGAGTGGATTACAGCCACTCTCATCGTTCATGTGGTAGCAGCCACCTTTGACTTGCATGGCAGTACAGCAAACTCACACAATCCTATCCCCATGGGACTGCAACTGCTGGGAGGCAGCAGACCTTTAAAGCCCCAGTGGAAGAACAGACCATTGTGCAGCAGGTCCAGGTCTGAGAAAGCAATCCGACCACAGAAACCACCTTTTGCAGCTCCCTTTGAAGTGCAGCAGCCCTACCCAGGCTGTGAATTGAGAACTCTATCCTGCACTATTTTTAAATGGGTTCAAATACTGCTGTGGAATCAGAGACAAATAATCAGGGCTTGCATCCGTTCACCCACGGGACAGCAGGGAATGGGAACTCTTGCAAGACTGCAGCCTAGAAATGGAACCACTGCTCCTACTCACACCGAGTAGCACAGAAATTAACAGTTTTGCACCAGAACTGTCCTTTCTCTGCCTCCACAGAGAAGTCAACAGTAAGGTGGAAGATGCATCAAGCCAATTTAAGCATCACAATTGCCCGTTCAATTTCTAACAGCAAAACCATCAAAGATTCTGTTTTAACCACATCCCATTGTCCCCACAATAGGGCAAGGGGATGAATGAGCATAGATGAGTTGGAAGCAGGGAATGGCACACAGACAGGATGAACAGCAACTACAGCCCAAGCAGCAGTGGACAGGATGAGTCACAAGCCAGGGAGACCATCCAGATTCCATCTACACTAACTCATGCTGAAAACACTCTGCTCTTTCAGTTTCCCAAGTGGGAGCAGATGACACAGAAAGGAAGCTGAATTTTTTTGGGTACGAATGCTGAAAAAAGTCTCACTTAACAGGAAATAGAAAGATCTGCCCTGTACCCTAAAAGCAGCACCTACCATTTGTGCCCCTGACAAGCAGTCTCATCTGAGTTGGACTTGTACTCAGTGTTCTTCTTGTTCACGCTGTAGTTGGTCAAGTGCACAAACTTGTTGCTGAGGCTCTTCATTGAAGAGGAGTACCTGCAGGAGGAAATAAGAGCACAAGCAGTCTGAGATGCAGTCGGCTGCCCACAGGCCCACAGGGCAGGCAGAGACTCTATTCTCATCTCAGACCACTCTTGGCCACCCACCTGCCCTGCTGCCTCGAGTTCTTTTTCTCCACAGGCCCAGAGCTGATGGAACAAAGTATGAAAGAGCCTTGGGACAGTGGAATGCAATCCCAGCCTACGGCATAACTTTAAGGAAAAAAATAGAGCTTCAGTGAGCAGAAGCCCTGATGGAACTGCAGCAGCCTGAGGCAATATAATGAAAACTGGAAGAAATATCTCACTTTCTGGTGTGCCAGCTTTTATGCAGGATGAAGCACAGACAGCGTATTTCAAGAACTGCTTTGTACTGAGCTGATCTTGCACTGGGAAAGGTGGATGCAGGCAGCATTCTCTCACATTCCCTTTCAACAGTCACCTGCAGCGACCCCGTGTGTTTCCAAGAAAAAGCTTTAAGCATCACTGTATAGGGGATGACTCTCTCCTGCCCCAGCCAACGTGGGTACCACAGCCACACAAGTCACACACCCCGAGGCAGCCCCCAGCACCTCTCTCCTGCACAACCTACTTGCAGCTGGCAAAGCGAACCAATCCATCCTTGAACAGGTACACCCTGAGGGGATCATAGCAAGTGACGTAAACGTAGATCCTCAGGTCAAACTTCTTCCCGCCAATGAGGTAGGGTTTGTGCAGGTATCTGTAGAGAGAAGCAAGCACCAGGGGAGGGCTGTGATTTCTGTGTGCAGGAACATCTCTAGCCCACACCTCAGAAGGCCTGGCAAAACGAGGGATCAATGCAGAAGCCCTTTTGCGTAGCATTTCCAAGTTAATCACATCACAGCCAAAATGAGAGAAAGAAAAGATCTCCCATGCATGGAGAGTTGCTGCAGCACACAAGCAGTGTTCCCTTCTGCTCACTTCCATTTTGAAGAGATTTTCCCTGGCTCTAAAGCACAGTCGCTTTTCCACACCCACAAGACTGATCACAATATTCAGGAACATCTAAGACATGCAGTACACCACAGATGGTTTGGTTCAGTGAGCAGAAACAGTTGGATATTTTAATCCAAATCATTTGATTATTCATCCCAGAAGTTCATGACTTTCCATAGGAAAGCTTATCACTTTTCACAGGAAGTAGACAGGGAAAACAAACAAGCAAAGACAGCAGTTCCCTGTTTGCCAAACACCACAGTTTTTCTGCCCTCACAAGAATCTTCCCAGAAAGCAGCCTCAAACCAAGACAAGCTATTCCATTTTTCTGCAGAAGGGGAAGGAGATGGAGAATTCTGCTATTTCAAGAAAATTCTTTGACCAACATCTGCATACACTGAGGCTCTTACTGAATCATTCTAGCTCAGATAAGAACAAATCTTTGACAACTGCCACCTCTTCCCTGGGACTTCTCTTCCTACTGTGCTTGTGGGAACTGGATAAAGTTTGTTTGCCTCCAAACACACTAAAACGCAGAGCACAAAGCAGTGGAAGCAGGATCACAGCAGAGCCAAAGTTGTTCACCTGCTAGACAGAAGCTCCAGAAAGCCCGTAAAGACAGTTTGTATCTGAGGCCTCAATTATCTATGCAGACAGCAGCACTCTGGTAAGCCCAGTTGCAGCTGACAGATCTAGACCTCTAGCAGCAGGACACCCAGGCAGTTTCCAGATGCAAATCAGATGTTTCTGCTCTGCCACACAGCAGCAGCGGTCCAGAACCAGCCAGAGAGACCAGACATGAGGAGTTCCCAGGCTGTGTGTCAACCTTGCTTCCCTTCACTCACCTCTGTACTAGCAGTGGTCTCCTTTTGGGGAGCTGGCTCCATTTGTGGATGACCTGGATACCAATGCCTCTTGCTGATGCTGGCTGCAAAACACAAACAAGAAGGGATCAGATCCCCCTGCAGCGACAGTTGGACAGAAGACTGAGCTCTGCTTTGCACTTACTGGCTTCACAATCCATTTCTGTCGGCTAGCTCCTTCCTCCCATGCTTTCCTGAGTAATTTGATGTCCTGGGGCAGGATGAAGGACTGAGGGAAGAAGTTAAACTCCTTCTTCCCACAGCGAGCCTGCATCTTCAACAGGTTACGCCACAGACGGTCCTTTCTCCCAATTTGAAATGAACCAGGGAAGTGGTTTAGCTGGAAAGGAACTCAGATGCTATGAGATTTCCCTGCTTTCCCAACTCCCTGCTCACCCCTTCCTGCTCCCTGGCCAGAGGATACATCCTTTCTGGATACAGTGCAGGGTGATGCTCTTTGCTCCCCTCCCAGGATTGCACCCATATTGATTCTACCTGCTCCTGAAGCTTTGCAAAGACAAACACCTACCGGCACAGTGACAAAAACCAGCAGCTGCCACCTTGTTCCTTCTGGTGTCTGAGCAGCTGCAGGGCACTAACCCTCAGCCTTTGAGCTTCCTCTGGCAGCATACATTCCCTGCAGTGGTTTCGCATTTGCTCCTAAACTGTATGTCAGAGTCCTGCCCAAGCAACACAAGCTTTGGGGACAGAAAGACCCCATAGCAGTCCAGGAACAAGGCTGGAAGCTGCTAGCTTCCAAACCTGGATGTTGCCTCAAGACTGTGCAGTCTGGAGCATCACAGCTCTCTAGAACAAACATGCACTTGTGACGGATACCACAAACCTCTGGTCCCTCACAGGTTCCCCAAGCCATGAGCCACTCCTGACCCTTTTGTGATCTGAATTAGGTACAACCCCTTTGCTGTGTTGGCAGGGAGGGCACTGTCCCAGCCCCTCAGTTCTGCCAGAGGAAGAGCTGCTTTAGGCAGAAATGACTGAATTTAGACAAGCTCACAAGTGAACACAATTTGGCTACAGCCTCAGTCTGCACAACAGCCACCCTCACAGCA